CCGGGCCACCAGATTATGCACGAGTTTTTTCTAGAGCTAATTTTGCAATTTAGCTGAATCGGAATGCATTAAGATACAACTGAGCCCCCGAAAAATCCTTACTCGACCTATGCCAAAATCGGTCGTTGTATGATTTTTATTTAGCTAACGAATCTAAGTGCCGTAGAGTTGGCATTTTATTTGCCTAATATTTCCGGGGAGTCGTTTTGAATTGAAATGTGTCACTCATTGTTATATCGGTCCTATGCTGAATACTATCGAGAACAGGTGTCTTCTGAACTCAGAACCTCACGTCTTGCGCTGCTTCACCCAACCAGCTGAGTCACGCGTTTATCCAAATTAAATCCAATATTCTAGCAAGAATTAACGATTTCCTCACTAGATGCAGTGACATTTTGTGAAACAATGTACCTAGTTACCGTAAGTAAGAAAGTAAGAAATCACTCTAAATCCCACTACACAGTGGCTTATCATTAATCTAAAGTGTGTGTCTAAAAACACTGGGCCACATTCAACGCTAACGCAGATTTTAATTTGCCTTCCATTAGCCTTCTCCATCCACTTTGACAAAAGCATGTTAACCAGACAATCGTGGTTCATTCTGGAAATGAGGTTATTCGTTTGTAAATTTTAATGATTATTTTCAGTCTGTTTAAGACAGCATACAACTGCCAAACTCTATGCATAACCCTCTGGAAAGTAACTCTACCAGGGAGTGAGCGCGGATAGTTACTGGCCCGCATGAATGCCAGTTCGCCGGTAGACCTTGTAATGACTGGTTTGTGTGGGATCGGACATAAACCTACTCCGGTTTTTCCCATCCCTTTAACTGAGGTGATAATTTTAAAACTACAGAACACAGTTAGATTCTTTTCGGTATACATGTTTCAAGAGCTGTGACAATATGTTGATAGTTTTATTTTACGGCAGTAGGTGCATCTTGCGAAAGGCTTGCAAAACTACCAAGGGGGCGATGTTTACTTTGTTTCTGGTCGCAAGTTACAAGATAGGTAGTTAATTGGGACGGCCAGCCAATACTGTGCTACAAACCGTTGGCTAGCCCACTCCGCTTGAGGTATTGTTCAACGCTTTCACGTGTGTCATGCTGATCAGATTCACCAGCGCACAGATCGCTCATTCCTAGCTCGTTATTTCTTACTAACAATGAAGTATCTAATCCTACTATCAACGATCCATTGACTAAAAGCGCAACAAGAGCGTATGAATGGCTTAAAACCGCCCCTTGAATCACCCTCAATGTATTTTTGGATTTTTTTCCAGATAAGCCCCGCCGAAAAATTAACCCCTGTAATTAACAATGAGCATGAAAAGGTTCGTTTGTCTATGGTCTGTGTATGAGCTCCAGCCGTTGGGTCCACAAAGTTCTCGGTATGATTAACCGTTTCATGAGTATAATTCATGTCAATCATCGTTTCGATTTCTTGGTATGATGCCCATCAAAGTGGCCGCAGTTCGATCCAGCGCTGCATACATGAGCACCTTTTTAGTTTCCCGGCAGATCGCCCCGAAAATCCACTGCTGGGGAAGGACTCGCCCTGCGTAGTTTTTACAACGGGATGTTAGCGTTTCATCGATCTCGACGTGTAGACCTGGGCCACCGATAACTGTTGGAGTCTGCAAAAGCTGCCAGGCGCAAACGAAGTTCTTCCAGTCAACAGTGGTCGTGTGGCTAGTAGATAATTCGTCTGAAAAGAATTTAATTGTTGCCAAATTTTTTGGACCAGCAATAAATGAATAGAATTACTGCCCTAAACTCCATCCTGGACCACTCCAGCCAAGTCCCCTTTCGAAGACCGATTTCTTGTCGACACTGTCAGGCACTATACCTCTACCTGTCAGAGACAGTTGAAAGCATTAAAGGTAGCCATCGTTGCATAAACGTTGCTGATGAATCACTCCATCGCTTTGCAAAAGACGTATTACCGTCTCCTTGTGATGAACGAGAGTTGAAAACGTCAAAAAGTTTATGTAAATTTTTACGCCCGAACTGGGAACATTTTTGCTTAAAATGAGCCTAGTTGCGAATAAGTAAGTGATTTCATCAAAAACAGGTCAAGGTTATGTGCGTACATTGAATTGGAGCTTGCAAAAAGTGGCGGGGCTTAACTTTCCGCGCATGCACTTTTGACATTAGTGGCGGGGCTTATCTGGAAAAGATCCGTATTTTCAGATTATGATAAGTGCAGTAGTTGTTAATAAGTGAAATTGAAAAATCTTACAGTATGCGTCGATACTTCGTACACCATCCGCAAAATTGAATAAATTTGGACCTAATGCCTAGTTTTGGTTTTCTAGTACAGCTTGCTAATAGCTTGTTAGTACAAGTCCGCTTTATCCTTGCTAATATTTTCCAAAAAAGAATGATTAACCTACCTATTGAACTTAGTTGTAGGGCTTTTCAGCATTGAGCATACACCAGTTTTGGCGCAGGCTTTGTGAGACCTAAAGTCGTCCTCAAAGCGCCATAATCTGAAATTCTGGAGTAACTGACCCCAAGGGACCGTGGGGCAGCTTCACTGAAAACGGCCCTTCTTGGTTGTGACATATTCTAACGCAGTCTGTAGAGCGTCCCCATTGATGCAGCCTGGGGCAGTAGATGCCCACCAACCTGAAGGTTTCTACTGTCCTCTGTTCTCTTAATGACATCAGTTCATCAGCAAGCCGGATAACTTGTTTTTGAAGACGGTCCGGGAACCTGAGTTGGATGGGCTTCGCCGGTGACAGCACCACTTTTGTCGCTGGTTATTTGAGGTTTAATGATATCAGGGGTGTTTGAAAATGAATTGTACGACAAAAAACACATTCAATAAAACTGCTGGACAACACTGCAAAATAGGTAAATTCATGATAACAACGTTGTCTGAGAGAAGGAACATCTAAAAGGTGCTCGCCAAATAAGAGGCCACAACGGTGGGTCGCTTGTGTCCAAACGTGTCCAAAATAGAATTCCCGCAATCCCCACAACAAATATCGGGGAAACGTTATCCAGCGGGTTTTACGCGTCCGTGGCAGTCAATTCCTGACAGGCGGATCAATCGATCGTCACAGCCAGAACAGTAAGGATCGTCGTTTCGATGATGAGCGGGGTGTACCAGTCACACAGCTCAAACGTGTTCGATCGTTCAGAGGTGAAAAGTTCAGATGCGTCCAATTTGCGCTGGTGGAGTAGTGGTGACACGCTCGCTTCGCATGTCAGGTGTCCGGAGTTCAAACCCCAGCATGGCCATTGGATATGCACTGCTGATGATCTCTAATCAGTACGAAACTCGAGTTCAGTGCTTCACCCCTTGGTGTGGACTCACCAGAAGAATCACGCCAGGGCAGGAGGATGACTGTTCAAGCGAGGGTGATGTTAATATGAACAATACAATCCCCGCAACGAATAGTTCCTTCGCAATATGTAGCCGAATGTCCAACAAATATGATACAAATTCCGGACCATTTGTCATCGCGTTTCAAGGAATTGATGAAACCCAAGTAATGCGAGAATGGTCAACGTCACCGTTCGGTGCTTCAGGCGTCAGGTAGTTACGCAGCCCATTATTTATCATCGTGTTTCGGAAAATAAGCCACTCGAACACGTGGCCAGTTCTTGGAATACTTCATAGCCTATCGCAGTGCAGAACACCGCAGCCAAAAACACACGTGCTGTCGCTGGACAGGGTCTTCCATTTCAAGCACTTATGACATATTCTCCCACAGTACTGCCCAAGACGCGCGGAATATTCCGCTTGCGGTGAAACTGGTTGTTTGGTCCCAGATAGTCATGCAAGTGGGGTTGATACCCATGGCTCTCCGTCGCCAAGTATTTTCAAAAGCTGTTTAAAAATTTTTACTACCGGCGTGTATTTGATTACTAAGGGGCACAAAAGCTTGGGGAGATGTGTAAGTTCCGGATAAGGTTGTTTTCTTGTGCTTCTCAAAACGATGCAGAGGCTGTTTCGTAGCCAGTTATAAACTGATTCTGTGTGCTATAGACCGGTCATACGCTTGTGTATATAGCGTTCCACCTTTATATCGCCAGTTGTGAGTAAGTCATCAAATTGGCCTACATCAAACTCTCAGTTCCAAAATGGACTTTGTTGATATAACGCTGTAGAGCAAAAGCTAAGCTTGTCCGTGACCAATTGCCTGTTTACTGGTGACTAGTAGTATAGGTAATCAGTAAGATGTGGTTGTTAATAATCCACCAATCATGTCCATTAGGGGTAAAAGACCTATGACGGCCGGCAAAACGATATCTAAGCTGCAATGACTTAAAGTCGTTGCTCCTAGGCTATGCCCCTCTTTATGCCCAACATTTGGTCCCAACACTTCCCGTCTGCGGTACCAAAAACGCATGATAACATCACAAGAGGCAACAGAAACTTCTGCTACTGTGTTAGTAACGATCCAAAAACTCGAGCGTCGTTATGGTTAATCTTCAATAATAATGTTCATTACAGCCAGTGTGTCGCAACATGTGGAACTGCGTCCACACGGAAGGTACATATTGTTCACAACACGCAAAGGCAAGCATAAATCGGCGCGATCAAGTCACTGCAACCTAAATACAGACTAGTGGTGTTGCCACAGCCAAGGGAATCTGGCAACAGCTTGGAACGTCGCGACCAAGGGGAAAGTGGACAAGAGAGTGATGGGTTCGGCATGACCGAAGAAGGCTAGAAATGAAACTCGGTACTTTCCAACCGAAAGTAATAATCACCACACAGCAATCTTGCTTAGCAGACAAGGTCAACAGCGGGGTGCGTATGAATAAAAAACAAAGCCAATTACAGCAGAAGCTTCCGCATGCTGGGAGCAGATAAAACATTTTGGTGCTGAGTCATTGGTCAAAAGTGCCGATGTTGCGTAGGATGAGGTGGCTCGTACGGCGAAGCTCAGTAAATCGATAGGCAGGAAGGAAAAGTGAGTTCTGACAGCCGGAAACTTGGGGTTTCAGGATCACTTCAGTAAATGGGGCAGATACACGTGGCAGGAACCCCCACGCATTTGTTCACATAGACGGGTTTGAATGAAAATCACTGAGGAGGATGGGATTGGTCCGACGGGTATAGCGGACACGGTGTAAATACTGCATCACTGCATGTTTGTTCACGGGCAGCTCCATAAACAAAAGTTAGGTTGAAGCATTTGAAGTAGACAAATAAACTTGATGCAAAACTAGTAAAGGATCCATCAATCAGCAACACCAGTATAAAACAGTGGATGTCCATAGGTCCATTTTGCATACGGCGTGATCGGCAATCATGGTGCTAGTACACCTAAAAATCAACAGTGAAATAAAGAAAAGCCGGAATGATGACGGAATCGGACCAATAAGTTTTCCTGACCACTGGCAAAACAGCCCGGCAACCATGCGAATTCCTTAACTCGTATGTGTTACACCAATCTTGAACTTGCCTTCTACTAAACTAACGCTTTCCGATGCCACCACTTTCATGTGTGAGATGGATAAGGCATATTCTCGGTCACCTACCGGTCAATTATGCAGCCTCGCAATGCACCAATTAAGGGATCAGAAAGCCATTGGCCTCTATGAATTTTATACCGTATTTCAGGCTCAACCAGCAAAACCCTTCTCCTTGTGCAGCCAGCAATATTTACTAGAGAATTCTGTAGTACTTAAAAACTGCTCTTTTTCATGCCCAGTATAATCTTTTTCCCCATAATTATCAGTCACGTCGCTGTACAAAAGTTTGTTTTACTGAAACACAACCGCTACCGCCCGCGTGTTGGCTCCAACGTGACTTTGAGACTTTTGCTGAGTGACCGTTATTGTGACCGCCGGTTGGCTATATTTGATCGCTGCTAACACTAAACGTGAACAAACATTTTAGCTACAAACACTGGACTAATATACTCACACTTGTGGATTAATTTTTCGATCACCGGAGATCTGGATTGCCAGGAAGATATAACTATTCTTGGTGTGGTGGTTCAACGGAATACGGAACTACGGAATCTCCTATTTTGAACTTTGAGTCAAGATTTACTTGGATTTTTCTCCTTGTAACTTTGTATTTGGCTTACACTAGTAATTTGCTCTGTTCACTAGAAACTCCATAGGGCCGTTAAACAATACAAATCCACCGAAGAAACCGATATCTCCGAAAT